CCCAGGGAAGTTTATTCCGGGACTCTGACCGAGGGTCTAGTCGGCCCTGTGTTTGGACCCACCCTATCAGACCCACTGGGGCCACCACTGAACGACTATAATGGGTAAGTATTTAACTAAGGTCCTGTCAGTTTTCACAGTTATAGAAAAAAAACTAAAAGTGACTAAAAACATAAACATGTTTCCCATATCCCGATCCAAAAATTGGTATTTTAAAGCAAAATTTCACTATTTCGTTTTTTCGTTGGGTTAACTTTGTTTTTTTTTTATTCCTGTATGTATAATATTGTATTAGGATTATATTGTACTTTGATAACAATAAAATTATTTTTACATTAAAAACATAGTTTTTACCACCTTAATGGACGCCATCTTGGAATTTATCATGATGACGTCATCATTCCGATCAAATTTTTTAATGAGAGTGATGAGTAACTATTTAGCCAAGTTGTTGTTACATTTCCTATCCACAGTATATGCAAAAGTGACCAAAAACATAAATGTATTTCCCCTACCCCCATCTTAAATAGTTTAAAATAGGGTATTTTAGGTCAAAATTTCAAAGTGCTGTAAAAAAAATTGCCCAAGCCCTCAAGCCCTAGGCATGGGGATTTTTTTCTGAGACACTATAGGGTATGCTGATTCAGAAAAACCAAAAATTAATTTTCCTTTACTTTTTTCCCGCTAAAGTTCATTTCAGCAGTTTTACAACCAGACTATTTAATCAAGTTATTCTTTCAAAGAAATAAACTACTACCGTAAAACCTCGAATTGAAGCCCTGGACTTCTTCTTTTCTTTGCGAACTTTGGATGGGCTTTTCAAGATGGGCTTCTTTTCGAGACTACTTTGGCAAAGTAAAGAATGGGGGGGGGGGGTTCCTTTCAAAATGAATGCTGTGAATTTTGCGAATTAGTACTATAAAACACAAAATAAGGCCACTGTAACATCAATCTGTATCATGTAGTGTATTTAACTGGCATTAAATCACATAAACTACTGTATTAAACCAAGCTCGTATTTAATTTATTTTGTTTTCTGAAATTGATGACATTGTACGTGACTGTAATATCTCGAAAAGAAGCCTATGCCACATTGAAAAGAAGCCCATTGGCTTCTTTTTGAGGTGGGCTTCTTTCGAGGCTAATTTTTTCAAACTAAAAAGGGGGCTTCAAAAGAGGATGGGCTTCATCTCGAGATTAAGCCCACTGGGCTTCAATTCGAGGTTTTACGGTATTACAGGTAAATACTAGGCCTATAGTAGAGTATAGTATACAAAAAACGGTGAACATGATTTATTGACTCAAACACAAAACACCATAGGCTTATTCAATCATTTTACCACGAAATCCTGGTGATGAATTTGGTCTAGGTTGAGTCGCGGCTGTACCCGACATTTGGATTTGGTTTGTGGAAAAATGTTGTAGAAAATGTGTATAAGGATATAGGCTAAATGTTATAAAACACAAACCTTTCAGAGGTATTTAAATTATGACCTGTAGAATGGTAATTCAACATTAATCCTATATTTTGGATAAACTGAAACTAAATATAACCAATGTGTTATTGTCACCAAATAGGCCTATGTTGATTGTCACCAAATATAGATTATTTAATATTATTGTTCACCATAATCGAACGTTAGATTTGACTGACGAATATAAAAGTACTGGTACTCCGAGTTATTATTCTTATCATGTTACAACCTCCGGCAAGTGTTACTGTAACTGAAGTAACTACGATATTTCATAGTCTAAGTAGTTAGGCGTGTGTTAACTTCGTAACAACGTCTAGGCCTGCTTATTATAGTCAGCATGTCGTATTATCAAAATAACAATAGCACCAAAGTGGAAATTGTGGAACGTGTGGTAACTATGAAATTACGAAACTCAAAGAAGTAAATAATTAACAAACCAAGACGGAAGAATAGAGGAAGATCATCAATCAGAATTACAGTATTTTCAGGGAATTAGGACAGCGTCCGTACGGTAATCGACCGAATTTCAGCGGCTTTGTCGAGGTATCGGCGAGCATAAGAGCAAAGGGTTCACACTTTTTGGAATTAAAACTTGCACTTACAGAGGCGGCTAACAGAATGGACAAAGATATAGCAGCTAAAGTAACAAGTAAAGCTATGGGATGTAGGCCTACGGATTGTGGATCCGATGATGCCAAAAGGCCCGAGAACACGGTTTTAACAGAACCCAGTGTTAATGAGCTTAAATTAGGTATATATGCAACAGAGGCTAGAGAACATGAAGACCATAGAAAAAGTAAGTATGAGAGGGTAGACAATAGACAATTGCTATATATATGTAGGCATGTGATATTGAAGGCCTGGTACTGTTACTTTCTATACCAACATTGGACGCCATAGGAATGTAGGCCAGTACCTAGAAATGTAAAGTAACTTAAGATTGTTGAAATTAATTATATCTCCCAGTAAAGCATAGATTGCAGCATTTTGTTTGCGAACTGTATGGCGTAGCTTTGTAAATCATGGACCATTGATGTTGAAATGGGTGTTGCTTTCTTTAAATTTCAATACAAGTTTGGATAATTTGGTGCTGTTCTTTTGCTTCGGAGAGCTAAATGTGTGCTTTTGTAAATCTGGTTTTGAATGTGTTTTCTAAGTCTGATGTACTCTTTCACATCATTTGTGGTTACGGTGGCCTTGTAGATTCATCTTTCTTTAGGTAGTTGCATGTATTAGATGGTTATTGTGGTTTGGTGCGAAGAATTCTGCTGTTGTGGGGCTGGATGATGTTCCACATATTTCTAGAACAGCTATAGCTAGCTTCGACATTATTTTTGTTGAATAGCTTGTGAAATGACGTGCCTCCTACAGGAAAGAGTTTTGTAACCAATTTCAGGAACGGTTTACCGATGTCGGTTTTCACGCCTTAGTTGAATGGGGGTTTTATATACATACATACATACATACATTACACATCTAGATGTGTATAAGAGACAGAGAGTATAGTATACAAAAAACGGTGAACATGATTTATTGACTCAAACACAAAACACCATAGGCTTATTCAATCATTTTACCACGAAATCCTGGTGATGAATTTGGTCTAGGTTGAGTCGCGGCTGTACCCGACATTTGGATTTGGTTTGTGGAAAAATGTTGTAGAAAATGAGAGAGAGAGAGAGAGAGAGAGAGGAGGGGGAGAGGAGGGGGAAAGAGAGAGGCCTAAATGTTTTCAGGCCTAATGTGATATAACTGAAGAGAGATTTTGTCAAGAATAAAGTAAGGACCCTTCGCCATGCAGGTAACCGTTGTCAGATTTCTCTTATTACGTTTCCTCAACACTAATTAATGTGTTTATTGCAATCCTACCTTTTGTTTCCGAGCTGAAATTGTGATTTGCAGATAATTATTTTTAAAAAATCTAAATATATAAGTCTATTTCAATTATATTAGCCTAAATCTGGTTTATGGATACGCGGGCCTATAGGAAACCAATGAAAAGCGAAGCTAGAGTAAACATGAAGATTATCATCTCAAACATTAAAAACATTACTTTGAACGGAAAAAGAAACACTAATAGCTTTGAAATAATCATTGATGACATTATAACAATTAGATCTTCATTTCACTTTTGCCTTTTAGAATGCGTGTGTTTATTTTACAATTAAGCAGGTAATATGGCATCAACGTTGATTACGTCAGTCCTGTTACTTCGAATCATTTGCATGTATCCATTAAACAACGGCACATTAAGTGGAGGTCTGTTCCATCTATAATGATGACAATGCACGCATCAAGTGAGCAGCAAACACTTTGTGTAATTTCATCATTTCCTGAAAGCTGCACCAATATGATTATGTATCGATCGGTGAAGAAAAATAGCTTTGGACATTAAAAGACACTAACATGCAATATACGGTACCATAAAATGGAAAATCATAAAACAATGCAATGCCCCGGAAGCTCCGACAAATTAGCATGTTGAGGGCCTTATAATGGATTTCTGAAACCTATAATTTGTAACATTCTATATAAATTTTCATTCATTTGGGTATTGTTTAGGGGCATAAAGCAGGAGAAATAGAGGGTGGGTTCCAGGGCCGGGAGGAACTTTTACAGACGGATGGTCAATAAAAGAAAGTCAATATAAGAAAATTTATGATTATGGCACCTCTAGATGGCCGGAAATGGCACTCTCAAATAAAATTTAATTATGATTTTTCTTTTTTTCTCCATTTCTTTTATAATTTTAGGGAGCTCTCCCTACCTCCCCCTAATCCACTACTGTGAAGTACTTTTTATGTCCTTTACATCTGTAGGTCTACAGATGACATGGATCAATCTGAAATCACTGGAGCTGATAATTTCCAACAGATTTCGTAGCACATTATTAAAAATCAACGGTTAGTAATGCATAGGCCTACTATAGCATTTCGCGATAATTAGGAAAGATTGTAATGAAATAATAGGATTTAAAAAGTAGACTTTTTGAAATTTGCTGGTCCAGGGGCAGAGACCTGGAGGGGGTTTTTTGAGAAAAGACCCAGGAGGCTCCGACAAAGTAGCATTTTGAGGGTCGGGTCTTATATAATGGATTTCTCAAACACATAATTCGTGAATATTTTATTTAAATTTTCTTTAATTTAGGTTTTTTGGGGGCCTGAAGAAGTAACGTTATTATGTCCTGTACATCTGCAGGCCTGCTGATAACATTGTTCATATATGAACAATGTGATAATTAGGAACGATTTTGTGAAATAATAGGTTATAAAAAGTGGACCTTTTGGAATTTGAGGGGGTGGGGGCTGTCTCTTATACACATCTAGATGTGTATAAGAGACAGGCTATTGGGACAGTTGCTGTCTGCACCGAACGTAATCGGTAAGCGAACATAAAATTCCAATATTGGGATATGAATTTTTCTCGTATATAATATATTTATACTTTTTTTTAATACCATAGAAGACATACTGGCGAGGATGATAAACTCATCATTTTTTCATTGGGCCTTATTCTCTTATACCTCTTACCACCCACATCTGCAATTACTTGGTTTCCCGAGAAAATGAAGAAGTGATGCGTGATTCACTAATCGTTCCTCTACTTAAGGTTAAGTTCTTTCACGAGTTCCATCTTTAATAAACCACTGTTAATGTTTATTGTAATTATGTTTAGAACAAGAATAAACATGTATCCTGTCCGTTTAACTCAATGCCTGGTATGCTTGTAGCATAGCCACGCAATTTCCGTTGGCGCAGACAATTTATCACCCTTACCGGTATGTGCATGGTATAGAATTGATAGCCTATAATTATTATATCGTTGATTTAATATTCATTATACATATTTCAAATTAAAATGTTTAAATGAATTTGAATTGGTTTTGTTTTGCATTGTTTCTATCAAATTGATTGTAGATTTTATTGAAAGCCCAGAGCATCCTAAATTACCATAAAGTATTGCAAATACAAATTTCAGTATAATTATTAATATTTTGATTTCATTAATATTACCCTAGTAATAATTTAACCTAATATCAGGAGCTGGCTTTTTATAGTCATATTTTCAATTCTATGAGAACTTCTGGAAAAGAATTTGAAAAAAGCTCCAAAAAGTATTGGTTAGTAGGCCTATTTGTGATTAGTTTGTGTTACTAGACCGTCATCAGGGGTTCGCACAAGTACACAGTTCCTGACAAAAATAAACACTGCATGAGTTTTGTTTAACCGTTGATTGTTTATTGCTGGGCATCTTTACTCCGTGTGCTACAACAGACAGCCAGGTGGAATCTGTTGGGCAGAGCAAGAAGTTCAGCTTTCGGCGGAAGAAGACATATGTCTGGTGCTGATGATCTTAGGCCTTTTCTACAACAACAACAACAACGATAACAACAACAACTATATAACAACTTAACACACTACAACTACCACTCAACAACAAAAACACTAACAACGACAATAATAACAACAATAATATTAATATAATGATGATGATGATGACGAAGACAGCGACACAGATGACGAAGACACCGGCGATCGTGATGACGACCACACAAATTATGATGATGACAAGTACCGGTATTTGACGGTGACGAAGTGACCAGCATGATGATGTTGTTGAACTACAGGCTGCATCACGTATTTTCTCAACTGTGTTTTATTGCTCTTTCATAATGTTTTAACTTCTTTTACGCATGTATCTTGTTTGTAAATTTGCGATTTTGGTCATATGAATTAATGAATGAATGAATACGTGGGTTAAAAATGTAAGACTAATTTTAATGTTTGCATTGTATAATTTCAGATTCTCTATCAAGAATTATAGTTCGGCTAATGATGAATCGCAAGTATAGAATAATTGTACTTCTTATTTTCTTATTCATGTACCTTTTTCTTGGTGCCTACATATTCTCAACAATAGAATCAAGCAACGAAAAGGAGCAAAAATCGGAATTGTTGCAGACGATTAGACAGTTTATCAATGATTCTAACATTAACAATACTGTTTTGCAAATTTTACTGAAGCAAGTTAACGATCTATATAAGAAAGGTTACTCATTAGATTCAGAGGAAAGCATATGGGATTTACCAAATTCATTTTTCTTCTCAACAACTGTTGTAACCACTATCGGTAAGAACATTCCATTCGTCTTGTAATTAGAAAAAAACAAATTTGAATTTTTGCACGCAATCTCTTTCAATCAGTTTGTTGCCTACTCAATTCATTTAATAATACAATAATACAGTGCCGGTAATATTATTTTATGTTATATAGTATTACTATACTATTAATTAGAAAAACAAAATGTTTAAAATCAGAAGAAGGACAATGTGACAAGTCTGATAAGTCGCTTCTTCATGTACTGTATATTTTATATAATTATTATGTGATTATATAACTCTATTATTTGAAATTTTATGATTCTCAATTTAAATGATAATACTTCTATTACATTATAGGATATGGTCACATGTCACCTAGTACACCTGTTGGCCGAACAGCCTGCATTGTTTTTGCTTTGTTTGGAATACCTCTAAATGCATGGCTTTTAAGCGAAATAAGCGAAGCTTTCAAGAAATATTTTCGTAGGTTGGCGGCAACATGTAGCGAATACCTACAGAATATTGGCATAACATCTGTGAAAATTAGAAAATATTTCTCTTGGAGCATGCTTGCTTCTGCTGTGTACACATTAATTGTCATAATACCTGCAATTATCTTTTGGCATATTGAAAGCGACTGGAATTTTGAGAACGCACATTACTACTGTTTTATTTCACTGAGTACGATCGGTTTCGGAGATTTTGTTGCAACAAATGGGACCACGAAAAGTTTTCGTTGGATTTACAAAATCCTAACGTCATTTTACCTTACAACTGGTCTTGCATTCCTTGCTGTTTTATTCAATGCGATTCAAGTTAGAGAACAAAAGAGGGCACAATCAATATTTAGCCCTTTGGCGATGCGTAGATATAGTAAAGATGTGGAAACCCGTGCCAAAAAGGAAGATGTCTTCTTCCCACCGATATTAGACAACATTGATCCTGAAAAATACGAGAAAAACAGTAGACAAGAGACAGATATTCCTTCAACAAATACAGAACCTCTCACGGTTTTTCAACACGAATCAAGTATTTGAATGATATAGGCCTATAGCTTACACATTAGATAATCGAACATTCCTATATCGATTGCGACACAATTTGAACTCTCATAGACAAACTATCCGGCTTACAGTAAGAGAATAACTTAAATGGTAATTTACATTAAACTACAGATTCGAATATATTTATATTTTATGAAATAATTTCTTTTTTACTTCCCAATAAACTGTGTTTGTGTTCTCTGTTTGATCTAATGACCGGTAATGAAGCGCAGTGGAAGATACAATGGAGGACAAAATTAAATAAAATTATATTCAAATTCAAATCTGAGAGTGCCATTTTCGGCCGTTTAGAGGTCATAAATCATAAAACCTCTAGGGTCTAGACCCTCCATTTGTGAAAGTCCCTCTCTGGACTCCCTCTATTTCGAATTCCTTGATCCGCCACAAAGTAACAGTGGAGTGGGGAGTTCTCCAGTCCGACAGGCCTGGACTCCTGTCGTCTGACTCCACGACGACCTTGTCGGATCAAAAATATTACTTTGCCAAAATAACGTTATTTTTGATTGATAATTCCTAATATTGTGGTTTAAAAATTGCCAGTACTAAGACATAAAATTTTCCCCATGTACCCTACCAGGAATTCTTATCGGGACCCTGACCGAGGCTTTAGTCGGTGCCTTGGTTCAGACCCCATTGTCGGACCCGCTGTCGGCAACTTTCTGGAGCTACCACTGCAAAGTAACTCTTGCGATATCCAACGTCCAAACGCTTCTAATCTTTGCTATTGATCAAGTAACCAAACCTCAACCTGAAACAATGACAGGCCTACTCACTTTTTTGTGATGATCATCAGTATTGTAGGACAATATGTTTGACAATACCTTTACTTCATTTTACAACTCTCCTTTTCTTTATACAAATATTCAAAAAAGCTTAAACCCTCGATGTCTGATTCACTGCTCACGACGTTGTATGCAAAATCCTTTCCTTCCTTTCATCAATCGGAATACAAAAAAAAACTTTTCAATCAGCTAAACTCACAAATTACAGAGGCAAAATCTAATTATTTCAAAAATACTTTCAGATTCAAAAAGTGATATTAGGGCAACTTGGAAAACAATAAACTTTGTTATAATAAAATCTCATCAACATAAGTAGGCCTATAGGCCGAGCAGCTTTTTAAGTTATAACGATGAACTGACTGATAATCCCGTCAAACAATGCATTCAATAATTTTTGTTGTTGAAATTGGTCCTGCACTAGCTAATAAAATTCCTTTAACAAATAAATATTTTAAATAATTTCTATTTAACCCTATACCTGGGATTCTATTATTCTTACCCTAGTTCAAAATGTTATCTTCCTTCAAAAGAGTAATCGTCACTCAAAAGTTATGAATAAAGTTACTACCTCATCTCCCTCCCCTTATATGTCATAGGTCTATCTTCAATCTTTCATTAACTAACTAGAGGTATGTTCCCAGAGAGAATGAAATTTTGTGTGTTACCACTAGGCCTATCTAAAAATCTGGCCCCCAAATCCGATTTAACATTACCGTCCTATTTCAATTTTACCTGTTTTCTCGAAAGCCTTAGAAAGAATTATATACAGGCCAAGTAAAATTTTTATTTTATTACAAAATACAGTAGTACTCTCATTTAGAACACTCCTATTCAGGGGACACCACTATTAATGGGACACATTTGTAAAACGAAGGGAAATATATATTTTAACACGAACAAAGGTCAAATCAATAGATATTTAACCCCCATTAAGGGGATACATTTCTTGTCATTGTATCACAATTACAGCAGTCTCAAAATAAGAAAAGTTCACCTTTTGGGCATCAAACCAAAATGTTCTCCCCTCGTATAAACTATAAAACTGTTTACCCTTTACTATAATTATGGGATCTCTTTTTTCCCCTTTTTTTTTTCGTGGACATTCATATTTTAATCCATACCGTAACATGCACCCTTATTTCTAAGTCGCTACTTTACTCATCCTACATGTATCCAATAGAAAGCTCAATTAAAAAAAAATGTGTAAAGTTGGTCATTGACATTGCATTGTGAAATAATACTAGGAACATATACAACTATTGTTGTTTTAATTACATTTCTGTGATTTCATATTATAAATCTATTGTATTTGCACTGCAAACCAGTGGTGGCGCCAGGATTTGCCCGACGGGGGGG